AATGAAACTAAGAGCTAAAACTGAACGGATGCTCTTTGAAGCCGAAATGCCAATGAAAAGATGGCCAGCATATTCAGATTGCCTCGTCTGAAAAAACTGGTATGCAAAAAGTTAGCCGCCAATTTTACAAGCATTTTGCCGTTTGTAGAGGAAGTTTCGTTAAGAAAACTGGACTGTAAACATGGAGTGCACACGTGGATGAGTGCTCAATCACTACTTGCTTACAGGAAAATTGGTTTTCCACCAGACAACCCTAAGATAAGCACAAACGTAGAAAATATGTACAAATACATGCACTTCCAAAACTACAAAAGAAAAAAACAAAAAAAAGCAGAGATCTTCATAATGTTTTGCCCTTGAAATGTGACACTGTCATCGTGGCTGTGCAGTACTCACTGGAGCATCTGGTTTATGGGACGCTTCACTGTGACCCTGTTGCACGCAAACAGCAGGACAGCGATGACTGGACTGTCCACGCGGCTCTCATTCTGCGCCTGCAGGAGCTCTGAATGAAAAGAAGCGAACACTTGTAGCTGCACAGCACCCAGCATCGGCTGTTTCCCCTTACTTTCTCTTAGCTCTCGCAAGCTGCCAAGGAGCTTTGCGTTTGCACGGCCTTGCTCGGCGAGCTCCTGTTCTAGCAGATCCAATTGAGCCTGAACTTTCCCTGGGCGGAAAACCTGCGGAGAAAGAGGCAGCAGTCAATATGGCCTCGGAAGAAAAATGCTCGAGGCAACTTACCTTCCCTGTCAATGGTCGCTGAAGAAATAGAAGGTACGTTACGCCACTCCATGTTAAAAATGCCAGTGAAACAAATAAAAGGAAGTTTCTTTTACGCATTGCAACATAGCAATTTTCTCCAGGTCATAGCTGCAAGGCAGAGAGAATGAATCAGTTTTTCTGATGCACTACGTGGCCGCACACACCTATACTTGCGAGAAGCCGACAGCCTGATACAAGGAAGGCCTCGAAGCCGGCTTGCACTAGCTGCTTCGTCGCATACACGCTGGCGTCGTCGAGTTATCCCGAGACGAGGCAGATTGAACGATAAAAAGCCAAACATCAACGCGACAGCACGGCCATGATGACGAGTAACGCCCCCTATCACCCGCTTATGGGCGAGTGCCGTCACGTGGTCACAGCCGCTGCGTCGTCTGCTTCTGAATACGCCGTAGAGCATTCTATGGTAGAGCGGGAGCTTAGAGTTAGTGAGGGGGACGATGATGTGACAGGCATCTAGCTCGGACTACTAGAATTGGTGAACAGTCATCGGAAAGGACACCGTGTTCTAAAACACGGCCTCATGTAGGGAAGCGCTCAAATCGGGAAATACGATTTGGTGCGAGCTGATTGGCTGTTTAGCAAAACTGAAAAAGCGATATTTCCATCGACACCACTATCACGACCATAGTAGTGAAGTTCTAGTACACTCAATAGTAGTAGTGTTGCGAGCGGTTGGACGCATGAAAATGCCTAGAGCTAATATACAGACTCCAGAGGAAAAGCTGGGCCGGAAAAGCTACAACTAGAGTGTAGATGGTCTATTCCTTCACCTGCACTTCGTGAACCGGTTCACGCAGGCTTGATTAATTGATTGAAAACTTTATTGGACTATTTACAATGTGCTCTCGCTTGTTAGCTTCAGCACGAAGAAAAAAAAAACTCGGGTGACCTCAAACTGGTCAGCTTGTTACTGCAGGGCAGGGAATGGCGATATCGTGCGCAAGGCAGCATACCACAGGTTCAGCCTGGCTCTGATGAGTGGGTCTTCAAGTATCCAGTTGGTAGTCCTTTCAATGCCTCGCTGTAGCTGAGGCAAGGTACGTTGGGCTTTTTTCATAAAAGCAGCTCGGCTTGATTCGTGAATGGGGCCTTTCCAGAGGATACGCTCCGTCGTTGCTGACTCGTGGCAGTGGTCACAGTTGGGGTCGGAGTACTTAGTCGGGTGTATCTTGTGAAGGACCGAGATTGTCGTGAAACTTCGTGTTTACAATCTCCTGAGTGTGACCTCGTAGAGGCAGGTGGATCTTGGGGGTGGGGCATCGTGTTTTGTAGCTTATTCTAACTTGGACCTTAATTGCCGCCGGCGTTGAACTTTCGCTCAGTGGTTGCCTTCATGGGTCTCATCTTGTGTCATCGTTGCGGCCTGCTTCGAGCTCGTATCCCCGAGTTGTTCCTTGCTATGATGCTGCAAAGCTCGTTGAGGAAATAGCTCGCGTCCAGGTATATTTGTGGGTCCAGGAATCCAATGAACTCGAAGTTGGGCGGCATAGTGCAGGATGTGCCTGGCGTACGCTGGTAGCTTTCTCCTAGTTTGGAGTGTTTGAAGCACTTGCAGCGGAGATGTGAATAACTTCTGGCGATGATCCTGTTTGATTGTAACGGGCTAGAATTTCGGAAATAGCGTACCCTTCAGCTGCTTCGGGCAGTAAGCAGAGTTGAGTTATAAAGAATGAGGATGCTTTCCTTGTTCTCAAGTTGAAAAATGCCCCTGTGTTGGAACCTTCTAGAGTGTATGAGGCGTCTGTGTAGATTATATCTCCTTCGTTAGGTATACTTTCAAAATGTTCAATATGCCGCAGAGCGTAGTATGCCCTTCGCTGATTGTCCGAAGTTTGGCTCATATGTTTTGGAAGCGGCCGATTGTCTGTCACGGTAATACCTTCCCATGGCGGAATGGTGGGTGTAATTTCAGGCTGGTCTTGGTTGCTTAGACCTAGCTCGTTTCTGATGGCTCTTCCAGGACGGGTTAGCTTGAGGCGCTCATTTTGAGCTTGCAGTGCAGGCTCTACATAGTCTTGTAATGAAAGAAGTAGACCTGTTCCGTGCAAGTCTTCGACTTTGGTGTAATTCGGTAGCCCGGTGGCGATGCGAATGCATGTTTTGTTAATGCATTCAAGTTTTTCAAGCTGGGTCGGTGTCATTGGCAGGAAGGGTAGTCCATATAGGAGCCTTGAGTGGACGAGTGTTTGTGCGAGCCTTTTAATTTGATCGTCTGATAGGCGCAATTTCTCAACTTTCGCAGCACTCTTAGGGTCTGTTTTGTATGCACAGCGCTTTTTCTACCCATTGAGCAGACTTGGCGTTTTGTTGATTTATATCGTCGCGGTACAACGCGAATAAAACAGAGGTACACCTTGAGGCAACGAAAGCAGCGTGTTTTTAACAGCTGAGCCACAAGATCGTCTTCTTCGGTCTCGAGTGAAACTAGAGGTTTACTACCTCGTGTCCACTAAATCCCCCATCATTGTTTTCGTCCACATGAAGACACGCGTCATTTGCCTCCCTCTCGAAGAGCATCGCCCCGATGCGAAGTCTGTAATGAAGTTTTTTTTTTTTTTTCACAAGAAAATTCTCACATCACTCGCTGACGTAAGGCTTCATGCGGACTACGTGAACGAGTTCAGGATGGTGCTGGTGACGCCTTGTACTATGCGAACTGTCGGGAACAGCTTCGTAAGTGACGACACTCATTCTTCGCAGCACTGGGTAAGGTCCAAAGTATCTTCTTAAGAGCTTTTCGGAAAGTGTTTGTTTCCGTACCGGCGTCCAAACCCATACTTTGTCGCCAGTTTGGTAGACGACTGTTCTGCGGTGAGCATTGTATTGGCCTGCATCGTACTCTTGCTGCTGGCTGATGCGTTAACGTGCAAGTTGCCTAGCTTCTTCCGCGCGTTCGGTAAACGTGTGGGCATCCGGGACGATGTCGTCGCCTTCGTGCGGTAACATTGCATCTAACATGGTTCGTACTTCCCGTCCATAAACTAGGCTTAACGGTGTCATGCGGGTCGTTTTTTGCTTGGCCGTGTTGTATGCGAACGTTATGTATGGCAAGATTTGATCCCAATTTTTGTGTTCAACGTCTACGTCCATTGAAAGCATGTCTTCAATGGTTTTGTTTAGATGCTCTGTCAGCCCGTTCGTTTGCGGGTGGTAGGCGGTGGTCTTACGATTCTCTGTTCCACTCAGCATCAAGACATGGTCCGAAAGAGCTGCCGTAAATGCGGTACCTCTGTCTGTGATTACGACGGTTGGTGCACCATGCCTCAGTACAATATTCTAAATGAAAAATCTTGCCACATCCGCTGCTGTACCTCTCTGGATAGCCTTTGTCTCGGCATAACGGGTCAGATAATCTGTCACGACGATAACCCATCGGTTGCCCGCAGTAGAAGTAGGGAGCGGGCCCAAAATTTCCATGCTAATCTGGTGGAATGGAGTCATTGGGACCTGTACGGGTTGCAGGAGGCCAGCTGGTTTAGTTGGTGGTGACTTGCGTCGCTGGCAGTCGAGACAGGTACGAACGTGGTTCTTCACGGCTGTGGTTAGTCTTGGCCAGTAATACCTTTGCTGTACCCTAGCCAACGTTCTTGTGTAACCCAAGTGACCAGAGGTAACCTCATTGGGGCATGCTTTCAGTACTTCGGTGCGCAGGGCTGCTGGGATGACGAGTAGATAGGCATATCCCGTCGACGAAAAGTTTCTTTTGTAGAGTACTCCGCCCCGTAAACAAAACGATGACAACACTCTTGCGAAAACTCTTGGCGCCTTCCGAGAACTGCCATCCAAGTAGGTAATTAAGCCAAGCAACTCAGCGTCGTCACGTTGTTGCTGCGCAATGGTGGTCGTGTCGAGGACACCGAGAAATGATGTTTTCTCCTCCTCGGGTAGAATCGCCAACTCACTGGGTGAACGGGACAAACAGTCGGCGTCCATATATGCCGCTTCCCTGACTTATGTACGACTGCCATATCGAATTCCTGCAGCCTGAGACTCCAACGCGCTAATCGGCCGGTAGGGTCTTCAAGATTTGTTAACCAACACAGTGAGTGGTGATCGCTAATTACTTTGATGGGGCGACCATATAAATACGGACAAAATTTTGTAACCGCCCATACCACGGCGAGACATTCCTTCTCAGTCGTGGAGTAATTAGCCTCGGCGCGTGTCAACGTTCTGCTTGCGTGAGCGATTACCCTTTCTGTGCCTTCTTGCTGCTGAACAAGCACAGCTTCCAGACCAACATTGCTAGCATCGGTGTGAAGCATCGTATGGGCTCTCTCGTCGAAGTGGGCAAGGACTGGAGGTGTTTGTAGTCGCTGGCGAAGATCGTTAAAAGCAACTTCCTCTTCGTTATTCCACTCAAAGGGGACGTCTTCTCTCGTGAGGTGAGTTAACGGTGACGCTATGCGTGCGAAGTCTGCGATAAATCGTCGATAATGAGCACAGAGGCCGAGAAAGCGTCTGACAGCCTTTTTATCGGTCGGCAAAGGGAACTGTTCTACGGCTGCGATTTTTTTCAGGATCGGGACGAACACCTGCATAACTGACGACATGACCAAGAAATCGCAGCTCTTCGTAGCAAAAGTGGCACTTCTCAGGCTTCAACGTCAGACCCATGGACTGTATGGCTCGTAAGACCACCTCAAGTCTCTCAAGGTGCTCGTCAAACGTTGCGGAGAACACTATGACGTCGTCCAGATATACTAAGCATGTTTTCCCCTTTAACCCAAAAAGCACAGTATCCATGAGTCTTTGAAAGGTAGCAGGCACTGAGCACAAACCGAATGGCAAGACCTTAAATTCATACAACCCATCTGGTGTTACAAAAGCGGTCTTCTCGCGGTCTCTCGGGTCCACCTGGATTTGTCAATATCCACTCCGCAAATCCATTGAAGAGAAGTATCGAGCGTGTCGAAGTCTGTCGAGAGAGTCGTCTATACGCGGTAGTGGATATACGTCTTTCTTGGTCACCTTATTTAGCTTGCGGTAATCCACACAGAAGCGCAGGCTGCCGTCCTTTTTCTTAACGAGGACTACAGGTGACGCCCAGGGGATCTGTCTACCTGCTGTTGTATTGCTTCACGTTCTTTTGGAGCCACGCGATAAGGGTTTTGGTGAATAGGTCTCACTGTTTCGTCGGTAATTATTCGATTCCTGGCTAGAGGCGTGCGGCCAACTTTTGATGTTGTCGAAAAGCAGTCTTGAAATTTGGCCAGTAGCTCAAGGAGTCTGCGTCGGTCGTCTTTCGGCAAAGTAGTGCTAACGTCCAGAACAGGCGCTGAATCAAGATTTAGTGACTCATCGACTACCGCC